CAGAACCCTCCTACAAAATATGTAAGAATTTGGTATTTGGTAATGCTGAAAATTGAATATATAATTGAGCCATAAGATATGTGTAGGAGCACTGTGTACTTGCTTCAGTTTGCACTATACCATGTTGTGACCACAGCACAGAAGCAGGCATGTGAAAAGAGTTTTTGAGTTTTGATCATAACTGGCCACCACATATGAAACTGCAATCTACTAAGCTGAAAAGTCGATATCAGAATTATTGAAGTCTAAACAGATGGATGCTCTTGACTTATGAGGAAGCATCCGCAGTAATGAAAAATGTAATATAAAGTGAAAGTCGAAATTATTTAAATTCTGCACATGCAAATGCCAACTGTACAAAAATAGTTTGCCTTAATGGGATTGAATTTTTTTAGCAGAAAATGTGACATGCACATTAATATTCACACTTTAGTCTATCCAGTTTATGAAAAGGCATGCATTCCAGACATGCACATATATTATCATACACTGCAGTGCATCCACATTACTAAAACAAAAAATCAAGAGAAAAAGGAAGACAGAGACAGAGACACAGACAGAGACACAGACAGTACTTGGGGATGAGCGACAGCTGCCCGATGCTGGAGTGGTGCCACACGGCGTGGGCCAGCGCCAGGACGTAGCTGCAGTACATCTCCGAGTAGGACTGGTGGCAGGCCGTGAAGTCGAACAGCTGGAAGGGCTCCCCGACCCACTCGGTCTCGGAGGTGAGCGTGGGGCTGCTGATCACGCTCACGATGCGATCGTGCAGAACCACCCAGTAGGGCTCCTGAAACACAGGCCGCCCAGTGAGACGCGCTGCTGTGCGGCAAGAAGCTCACACACTTGTCTGACTTCGCGAGATAACCCACTGTGATCCAGAGGGTGTATTTTAACACTGTGAAGGCATGGCATGGTGCTGTGGACGATGTCAGGTGTGTGTTACACTGTATTACAGTTTCACTCTGTGGTGTTTTTGGCAGGTGGGGGAATTCTGATCAGGGTGGGGAAATATGAGAGGGTGTTTTATGAGCGAAATGTTGCTTGTAGTTCTGTTATTTGTTTTGAAACATGAAAATTAAAATGTGTGCACAAAAAATACATAAGAGAAGGTTTTAAAAATACACAGCATTGCATTTTTTTTGCAACTGTGAGATGATATGTGTTTCTTTTTACAAACGTGACCCTTTTTCGAATGTGAAATCTAAATGTGATCAACACTCATGGCCACATGCCCAATCTGAATTAAGTCAGCTTGGCAGACTTCCTTCCCTGGAAACTGAGCATATCTGCAAAATTGCTGAACCCAACACTTTTCTACTAAGATCTCTTGGATTTATGAGGAGGACAAATTAAATAATGAATATTACTGATTAGTACAAGCATTAGATTTAAATTTAATTGCAATTACTTTCAAATTAAGATCATGCTGACAATATGCTTCAGAAATTCCAAGTTCGTCTTCAAGCCAAGACCCTAAAATTACTATTTGCAATCACAGTAAGTAACGAAAGACAGGGCCGTGAAACTAGCATATTTTCCACTCAATGTGCACTTCAGTGTGAACTGCGTTACATCCACTCGGCCCATGAAAACGCAAGTCTCCGTGACAGTCTTTTGTTGTAAGAGAAGCGAGAACACCTACAGGCAAGGCCGTGATTACGAGCCCAATGGCGTTCATCCAGGCAGTAATGTTCTCCCTTGGCACGAGTGGCTGGCTGTGAAGACAAGTTTTACAGAGGTCAATATTTATTTGTACTATTTCTGATTCATCTATAAACCTATAAAATGCCCCTTAATACTTCAAGACCCACAGCCGCTATCAAGACAGCGACGCGGCCGACGCCCTGTAAGGGACCGTCCAGCTGTGAGAACCGCGGAGCCTTGGGCCCAGGGCGCACCTCTTCAGCACCACGTTGAGGAGGGAGTTGCCCACATCCCTCCCTGGGACCGCCAGGGCCATCAGCTCCACGCAGGTGACGTGCAGGGCGTGCGCCGCCGGGTTCGGGAACTCGTTGAACCTCCAGTCGCAGTTCGGGAAGGGGCCGGGGGACTTGCCAGCCATAGGTGGCATGCTTGTTAAGGGAGATCTTCGCTTCTGAACAGCGAAAAGTTTTTAAACATCACAACTTGGACACAAGCAAAGACACCAGCACGTCAGTGCAAAATTGCCTATAATTATGTTGCAATTACCTTTACTTCCATCTAACCTTTAGGTATTTAATACTGAACAGAAGCCTCATCAACATAATTGAGCGAACCTTTTGTACACTCTCTCAGGATTAAATTATAAGCAGCATGTTGCAAAGCAATCAATGCAAAAAATACCTTCTTTAATGTTATTTGCCTTGAAGACTTAAAAATTAAATCGCTACAATCAAGGCTGTGCTCAATCTTTTCATCTTCAGTAATAATTGCATTTTTTTTCCCCAAAAGTTTTGTGAAACAGCAAGTCATCGACGCTAGACATTGTATGGTAAACTACTATCCACTGTTTGCATTCCAGACTTTAAAAGATGCAATTAATCTTTTAATCTGGAAAAAACAGTTCCCACATGTCCGCACGAAGTGCAGATTTAACAGAAAGATAGGGACTGCATCGACTTTGTCCTTGCTTACATAAGAACTAAACTGCACGTGACAGAAATCAGAAGAAAATGCGCCGTCAGCCTGTAAAGGGTGAAACAGAGCATCAGTCACCCGCGGACCTGTGTCACTCCCAATTTAGGCTCTCACTCGCACAGCAGCTTGACAGATGAATACCTCCTGTACCCACTAAACTACACCACTAAACACTATTTCAACATGAACCTTTACCCTTCTAAGCTTATTCATGAGGATGCCGAACAGAGAACGACACAATTTAAAGGGCATTATTCTCCCCCCTCCACCACCACTGGATACACGTGATGCTAACAGCTAATTAAACGCACAAAAGGATATTGTCCACCAATCGGCCAATCAGCTTGCAGTAGTAAGTGTCGTCGGGGACCCACGGACTGTCCTCGCGCGCGTTCATGGCGCACTTCAGGTAGGTCTCGCTGAGGCACCAGCCCGGCGTTCGGTTCTCCTTCAGGGAGCTGATGATGGCGTGAACCAGCTTGCGCTTCAGGTGCGGCCGGTCGCGGAGGTGCCTCTCGTAGTAGTGAAGGGTGTTGTAGAGGTACGTCACGGGGCGATCTGGGGGAAACACACGGGAGAACATCCTTTCTGACACACCGATGTCCAGCCCTCCTGCTGCGTACTTCATCGTGAAGGAGCCCCATCGGATGCTGTGCTCCCTACGACAGCTGAAGAAGGTGTCCGCAGACTCCTTTCATCCCGCCAGCGCAGGGGGTGGGGGGGTTCAAAGCATCACACCCAGTTCTGCTCATTTCCTAAACAGCACCTGTCTAGAGGCCACGAGTGGCTACCTCAGCTACAGTAACCACTGCAGTACCAACCGAAAAGTAACATCACTGCTAAAAAGTAAAATTACTTAATGCAGGTTAAAGAAATCAGAAATAATAAAAAAAGACCAGCCAAATCTTTAAATAAAAGACACGGCGATTTCAAGAACAGGCTGTGATCGTGGACCATTGAGATTTTATTATGCCAGCGCAACAAGGAATCTGAACTCGTTTCTCGAAGCAGACCTCACCGTGAAATTTGTACAGGCCTCCCAGGTGATCCAAAAGGGTCTCCAAAGACTTGGACACGGGCAGGAGCTCCAGGAACCGGTGTATGACGATGTCAAACACAGGCAGGAATCGCAGACAGACGTTCCCAAAGTAGATGGGGAGGTACTGGGGTGTCAGCTGTACAGGTGGATTCACCTGCTCTGCCAGGCCTTCGAAGTACAACTTCTCGGGGTACTTCTGTTGAAAGACAGTCAGTTCATATTAAATTAACTCACTGCAAAAACACCCCTCCTTATTCACTCCAGTCACATTTAATCACAGATGAAACGAGGACAGAAAGTTAACTATCTGCGATGGGATATAAGCTATGGGGAAATACTGACAAAGGGCATTTTAAAAGGTTACCTTCAACCATCAATCTTGAATGATTAATAAATTATATATCCCAAAATCTCAGCCAATAACCATTGTGCATTATGAGGATATCTGCTGGTATACACAGCAGTGGCTGTGTTAACCTATAAAATAATGTAAATAGTAACTACATTTCTGAGCCTAGAAATGTCATGAGGTGAAAAAATCCACAGTCCTGGCAAACCAAAGAGTGGTTAGCCACAGCTGCTACTAAATTAGGAAAAGGGGGTTATAACATTACTTCTTTTTAGAAATATCAAATGAAGTTAATTGGAAACAGTACGTCTCAGTGATTGACAGAAATAAAATTAAATAATTGTAATCATGCAGAGTCCTCAATGAAAGTCAGCATTAACTTGATTAGAACTAAAGATCTGCACAGAAAGGGATTGAAATTGATGTTGACTACAGTCCCCTTAACACAAAAAACAAAGAGCCACAAACAAAAAACACTCTACGCTTTGTTGTAGAGTTAAAGATTGAAACTGTTGTGCTGTATGAGCACTGTTACAAGCTCCCCTAGAAGCAGAGTCTGGTTTTGTGTTGCTGTCTGCTAGTAAATGTTGCCTCTGAACCACATTCATCTAACAGACAGCTGCCTGATGTGGCCATGTTGTTGTGTGAGTTAAAACTAAAGAAGGACAGAAAAAAATTCCAACCCACCAAGAATAAAAATGATTCCTATCAGAGCTGCACTCTGGCATGCTGCACATAAGCCTTCTCTCTTAAAATGTATTATGAGGGGAACCACAATAAGTCTTTGATTCTCAGATACGAGTTTAGAATGTACATTAGTTCAATTCAACCTTAGAGCATAAAAAATCTGCAAGCATGGTACAATTTAACAGGACACACAGATCAAAGCCATTTCTATTTTAATCTAATAGTCGTCTTTGAACAATATACTGAATTATTTCAAAAGCATATCAGGGAAAGCAGCGACAGATGGGCATTCAGTACAATAAACACTTTCATCTCAGCTAAACAGATATTCTTCCAGGCTCACCACAGGGAATTTTCTTAAGATCCTGCAGCGCACAGTTCTTATTTTTGGTGCAGAGACAATGTTATTTTTATCCCACCTTGTGATAGTTCATGTGCTTGGTGTGCCAGTCACTCTGCAGCCAGTGTTCTGGGGCGTTCTCCTTCACGAAGTCGCTCACTCGGTTCCTGAAGTCGTTGGGCTTCAGCAACAGCAGCTGAATGATGAAGTAGCAGACCTGGGCCTCGTTACCTTCATGGCTTCTCATGGCCTGGAGAAGAAGAACACAAA